TCTCGAAAGACATTTGGAAAAATAAAAAAAAAAACAAAGCCTGACTTTGTGCCCTAGAGGAGACGAAGACACAGATTGTGATCTCTTCTGAAAGAAATCCCCCAGAATTCTACAAAGGAGGAATTCTCATAAGGAAAAAAACTCTGCTGAAAGCTTGAGACTTAAATGAAGGAAACGTAGAAAAAAAGCTTGGGTTTTCCAAATCAGTCATTCACATGACTCGGCTATTTCTTTATCCCCTAAGGTCTTGTTTATTTGCGTTGATATGTTTCATTTTGTCTGTTTTAATATGTAATACACATGTCATACTGTACCTTTTTTACAACCAGGTTCTCTCTTCCTTCTTTTACTTTTCCGATTATACTAATTTGAATAAAAGTGAACGAACAGCATTTTTTTTTTCGATAAACTGGCCAAACCAGGGCTGCCCAGTAGGTGGATTGTGATCGCAAAGGAAGTGCTTGTAGATCCTTAGCATTTGAAACAAGAAAATAAAAAAAATATATATAGAATTCTGCAGTGTGTATTAGAGACCATAGAGTATAGTGTACACCAAGGGTGCCAAACATATGGCCCGTGGGCCAAAACTGGCCCACTTGAAGAATTCTGATAGTGAAAAAAACACTATGTTCGTGACACTTTGTCAAATTATATTTAATTATGAAGATTTTCGCATAAACTTGAACTTATTTGCATACAAACAAGGGAGAAAAATCTAAATGAGTTTGACGTCCCTGGTGCACACTGTAAGAATTAAAATCATATCGTACCATACAGCTACATGCATTTAATCAGTAGCCCAACATATAATGCATATATAATGTATGTGCAGTACGTATGAGTAAATATATATTTACATTTTCAATGTCGCTAGATCACCTCTACCTGGTGATTTGAATAGTAGCTACCAAGCCAAAAAAAAAACGTGTGGGCACCGCTGGTCCAAAAGACAAAAAGACAGATAATTTCCTACTAAATAATTATAAAAATAAGTCACAAAAGTTCACGATCAAGAGTTTGTTTGACATTAATTGATGAGGTCCAGTCATATTATAATGTTGAGTTCTTATTAATCTTTGACCTCAATATGTACACGGTCACATACTCTACAGGTGCCTTTGACAGGACACAGAAAGAACTGTCTCTCCCTCCTCGGCTTCCAGCTCTCTTAGTTCACATAACTAGCTGTGTAACGCCAGCTTCTAACCTCCAGCAACCTTTTCTGCGGTGTATTAAAACTGGCTTTCAAAGCAGTGCTGCCCTCTAGGCGAAGAGCACAGGTGAAGCAGCACATAAAATAATGTGCAAATCCTGTGACGCCAATTGTCTCTACCACCAGTTCGATCTCTGCTCTAATGAGGTGATCCTGCCGGTTGTTGGGGTCTGAGACAGGCCCTCATTAACCCTGGGAAGAGACCATTAAGACCAGAGAAATCTAGCAGCTGCCACCGTGAGAGCGCACAAAGAAACGGATGGGAGGGACAAAAGCATCAATTAAATCAGGAGACAAGGCTCCATCGACTGGGGCTCTCCCCGAGACTGTTTCAAGGATAAGCACTGAAGGTAAATTGATAAAGAAGTACAGACTGTAGATTTTACAGTTTTTTGCCATGAGGTTTTGTCACTGCATGTGAAGCGTGTCCATGTGATTTCCAAGAAGACACGTGTCCCAACTTTTTCTTTTTGGTTGTCCTAAAAATTTTAAGATTGACTCTAATATTACACAGAGAGAAACTAAAGTTGATAAAACGATTAAAAGTTTTGATATGATTAATGGTAGCTATGAATTGTCCACGATTAATAATGAGTGATTCGTTCATTTTGAACGAATCACTCGCGAACGACACATCACTACTAAATACTGAAGGCAACATGGTTTGCTTCCGCTGACAAAGTCTACAAAGTACACAAAATGCCATGAGCAATTAAAACCATGCGAAAAGCTAAGAAATAAAAACACACCACAATGTGAAGATGAATGAGAGCAAAAAAGACCCGCGCTCTTTCACGTGACAAATGAAACGAATCTGCGAGAACGAAGCGAAAGATTAGTTCACAGAGAATGATTAGTTCACGGCGAAAGATTAGTTCACAGCGAAAGATTAGTTCACAG